ATGCAGGGCCAGCTGACCCAGTATAATAGCATCACAGACTTCATGCACAATTAATCTGTGTCGGTTTAAAGGATAAACTGGACTTTGAGGTTTGTATCATTTAGAGAATCAAATTTGTTGTATCCCATTCTTTGGAAAATCACCAAGACTGTGCGAATTCGGATGTCCTAAATGTCAAACCAGGTCCGACAAAGAGTAAGCAAATTCAAAGTCAGGCCAGATAACGGGCCCTGGGCTTCGATGCCGACTGAATCACAACTCTCCTCATTACATTACGTCACATTTCTTCCTGTAACTTATTTAAGACACCAAACAAGCAGACATCTGTGTATTACATCATGGTAACTCATTTGCTGACCATACAGAGTGGTGTTGATATCACACTCTTACCACCACTGGTTCACGCAACATCCAAAAACGGCACACAAATACACACATAATTAATGGACAACCAAGTGAGCTATATATGCTTCAACATGCAAATCCAACGAATGTTGACAACAGATTAGAATTCGGTTGGAAAACATTACTTTCATAGCACACACAAAACACCAACACTAACACACCCGGCGTGCCACAAGTAATTCACCACTACGTTCCGTTTGGCGAGACCAGAGGAATTACGGTCCTCTGAGTATAGAAACATAATGCAAGACTGTGGGCTGGAACCAATTTCAGCAAATGTGCATTAGCCAACACACGCCATCTCATTAAGAGAATTGAATCTTAATGCCAGCCCCAGTGTTTTTCAGACACTAATTTTGGCAAAGGCAAGCCCAGATGCTTATCAGTGTCTTGCATTCATACTGGCACGCCATCAGCAGACATAGCAGCACATCAGGGATCTATAGAGAGTATACAGAGTGGGTATACATTGCGTAAATTTCAACAAATCTACACACATAAACACGAACATAGCACTATCAAGCTTCTTTTCTGACACGTTTGATCCACACAACAAACAACACACCAGCAGCATCTGTCTTCAACATAACAGCGTATCTTAATTAAACGATCAAAGAAAACTGTGCTTTTATAACATCATTGGTACTTTATTTGTGGATGTCTGTGTTTGTTCATCTCGTACCCACTGTGCTGATTGTGGTCTGTGTGTAGCACCGTGCTGTGCACGCCACGTGTATTTGTGGCCGTAGTGTAATTGTTGAATGACATTGAATGTGTGTGTTTTAAAGTGCTATAAGAGCCTTATCCTGTCCTAATCAGTTCTCCATTCCCTTATATTCTGCATCTTTAAGTTCTGCCTCTTAGTCTGAATATATGTAATACTATTACTATGTACTACCTATGGTTTCCAACCCCTCTCCACCTTGCATTAAATGCCACCACATGAGAGAGAGATATTCCATTTAACTTAAATAACATCTGACCACACTGAACTAACTGTAACACTCTGAATAGTGCGATGCCACTGGGAGCAGCCACTATAACAGCAAGTATAATGTCACATTTACCAATTTATTGATTGATATTGCCCATGGTGACCGCTGGTAGTTTTTCATTACTTGTAATTTGCAGTCTGGATGGACTCAAAACTATCCACAAAAAGAAGTTATGAAGCATAAGTGATGTGCTTCACTACATTACCAATTTAAAATCTAAAATTTTATCAAAGTTTTGTACAACAGCCTTACATGATGAAAATAATTTAAGCTGAATCCAGTAAACCGATCTAGTGAGTTTTCATATATAGATAGTAAACAAATGACAAACACCATATACCAAGGTAGAAAACCTCCACACAGAAATTCAGAATGGTGGTCAGATCAGTAACAACCATCTTAGAGCTTTGGAAGAACTCAATTCTCACCTTTTAAACCACATGAAACTGAATGATTCCTTTTAATGTTGATAATGTGTTTACGTATTACTGTTTATTCCCACTGAGGAGATCAACCACCCAGCTCTTATGCAGTGAGGTTTGACTGGGTTTTCAGCTCATTTCAGCTCAAAAAGCCTGGTGAGAGAGAGAAAAAGCTAAACATAAGTCAAGGACACCTACAGGTTTTTCAAGTTGTAAGATACCATTGACCAAAAAGTGTTTACCGTTTATTTTTGAAGATTGTTTTTGGCATAATGACATATGACAGGTCAAGGCCTTAGAACGACATACACAGGAACACACATAAAAATGGGTAGTGTCCAAGGCCCCAAGTGCCAGAACAATTGGAAAATCATTGGAAAGTATGCAAACGTAAGTGCAACATATTTTTCTGTGATCAGCAACGCAATCTGCACTCAAATAAAAGTAGCTCCATTATCTGTAAATCAACAAGTCTAAAGTCTAAGTCTAGACCAAAAGGGCCGCAGCATAACAAAGTGTCCCTGGCCTACAAATCAAGATGCCTAACATCAAGTCAATTTTTGGGGGTAATAGATAAATTAAATCTATCAAAACAAGTTTCCAATAGAATCCACCATGTTTAACCGCCATTTTTCTACAGTAGCCCGGAAGGGACAAACCAAACACTGGCTCAAGATAGGGGTGTTCAGGTTTTTTGTGTGTTTTACCGTAGTTTCACCTTGGAAGGGCAAGGAGTTGCGATCTACACCGCAAGATGACACTTAATTCTATATACTGGACCTTTAACTTGTAAATAGGGAGAACTAATACAAAGTCAAGATCAATTAGAACACGAACTAAGATACTATATCAAGTATGCTGTGTACACACACAGGCAGTGTCTGGATATTTGCAGAGTAAACATCACATTGTAAAATACTATGTATGTACAATAAACGGAAATACTGCTATGGGTACAAAATCCACATCTCCAATTTCCACGTTAATCCTGGAAATTTCTGCATCACAGCACAAAAAAAAACAGATTCTACTGGCCCTCAAAGTCAGATTATTTCGCTAATCTCACCGAGATTTCTTTGTCTCACTTAAACAGTTTGTTTAAGACTGTGGTCGTGAGCAGATGTAACAACTTAACCCCTGCGACCTCAGCTATCCCGCCTGAGCAAATAAAACGTCAACATCCGGCTTCACAGTCCCTCCTCTGACAGCTCCACTTCCTCCTTCTCACAGAGCTCTTCGTCCAACAAGACTGTTGGAACGGGAAGGGATGTGGTGTTTCATCACCCCAACCATGCTGCAGTGGTGGGCGTGCTGGTGTATGTGTGTGAAAGACAAACATATGCATAGATTCATGCATCTGTCTGTATATATGCTGTATATGCATAGATAGATCCAGTAAGAGAAAAAGACGCAAAGTATGTATTCTGTTGGAATAACCACATCTGTGTTGATGCAGAGCCCGCTCTTCCGTGAAACACCAACTCCCTGTGTAATAATCTGCCACATGTTCATATAAATAAATGTAATCTAAAAACAAAGACTCTAAACACTCAGTGTCTGACAGCTTTTTCCTCTGAAATATCCTCAGCCACACGGGATATGATGCGTTTTACATTGCCAGGTGTTTCAAATAAACAGAAAGAGAACTAGTTAACACGAACATCGACTGCTTCAACGGGTGAGCATACGCAGAAAAGAGCGCCACTTACAGAAATCCCTAACTTAAGTCACAGAACTCACCTGTCAATCAAACAATAGTCTGCATTGTTTGATTGACAGATGTTTTTTTGTACATAATGTGCAGCAGAGAAAGAGCACAAAAGCAACAACCCACAAAGGGCTCTTGTGGATCACCAGTTCATACCAACGATCAATCAACTATCTCTAAAGATGACCACAACCAAGAAAACAACTGTTGTTGATTAATACCATTTACTGTAAGTGTGTGTGTCATGTTGAAAAGCATCCTTGAGACACAAACAGCATCAGGCAATACAACAACAAATCCTATTAGTTCAGACAGACACAAACCAGGAAAGCTCAGCCTGAATGTTAGCAATAATCTCCAAATTGGTTAATTGAAACTGCATGAGGAAAGAGGAAACTGGATGTTGTTTTTTCGAAAAGAGAATTAAGATCAGAAATTCTGGCCATGAAGGAGCTATTTCACACCAGAAAAACCGAGCTATGGTCAGCTGAAGGCTGTTTTGAATTTAAGAAATGAAACATGTCAGCTTTAAAAGCGTCCCCCCAGGACTTTTCCCAGACCCACTCTCTGTCCAAACTGGTGATTCCAAACTCAAAATCAGCACGGGAGGAGCAGTTAATATTACATTCACCCTTTTCAGCTGACAGCTTGCTGACCTTCTCTAAAAGTCCCAAATCTGTTGGAGCTTCCAGTGTTACGTAAAGATTAGGAAGAAAATGGGGATATTATACTACTTAGTCTGATTTATTGATTCTAAATGCAGTTTTTGCAATTAGGTGTGCAATATCACTTGAGTGTGTATTGGAAATTCAAATTTCAAAACCTTCACATACCAGCACACACACACACACA